CACACTCAGTGGAAGAGGGTCGGGCCTGGCAGAGGAATCCCATGGTTTTAGAGAGGGATCCCATTAAAAGTGCATGAGTGTGTCTGTCTAGGAATCAAGACACCGGCTCTGCAGCCCCAGCTGATAGCTGTGTGTGTGTACTCATGTGTGTGTGTGTGTGTGTGTGTGTGTGTACACGTGTGTGAGTGTTATTTATTCATGCAGAGAGTTATTAGGGCGTCATGTGGCAGGCATCACTCACTTCATGCTGAATGAGATTCGGACTCTTTGCTGCAGCTTCGTCTGCAGGTTTCAGGTCTTCATGGGATCTTGAACTCGACCTCTGACCCCTGAAGTAGACGGAGACCTTCCTGTGAATATTTAACCTGAACACGACATATTTGAAAACAGAAAATAAACGACACGAGGGACGTTGTGCGTTTCATGGCACAGATGTTTTTGGTCTCAGCTTGTGACAGAAGCTGCTCTCACATCTGAAACTTAACATTTGGCATTTGCATGAAAAGACACTGAGGCAGCAGCAGAGGAGAGAAGTGAGAGAAGGATTTTGGAGGATGAAGACGGGAGAAAGACAAAAAGAAAGACAGGAGAGAAAAAGCTGAAACAGTTCACACACTTTCTTCTTCCTGAATTATGCAGCATTCAGGCTGGAATCTGAAAATTGAAATCTTATTTTGCTGTTGTCATGCACTTTGCACAAAACCACCACAACAGTTCAGTTGATAAAAGAACCAGTTTCACTGAATAAGACGATTCACCTGTCAGCGATCAGTCACCGGTTAAAATGAAAACTAGAAATCCAAATTTAAAAATGTCATTTCAAAATATTAATAATTCTTATAAATCTCTGGGACCAACTGGTTTTACACACACACACACGTATAAACGCTGCACAAATTAAAAATACATTTAGAAATATTAACTTTAACCACATTAATAATCAATCAATTATGAAATTAGATTTTAGATTTTTGCACAATAACTTTTTTAATAACGTGAATCCTCCTCAGTGAATGAGAAGAAGAATTCTCCTCCTCTCACCTCCTCTGTCTCTCCGGAGCCTCGGAGCAGCTGCAGCGGTGTGAGGGTCGCATGTGTCCCCGGGCAGAGAGGCTGCACTGCGGCAGGATCCAGCTGCTGCCGCCGCCG